GACGGATCAAAGGTCAAAGGTGTGTGTGCGTGTGTGTGTGTGTGTGTGTGAGATAGACCGAAAGAAGAGCCAAGATAGGAACAAAAACATGCATGACAGTTATTAAATAATTGAGACCCAAACTGGATTGAATGTTTGACCACACTGCTCTTCGACCTAATTGTGTGCTGAGAGCGAGAGAGAAAGGAAGGTTTAGTTCTTACAATGTGTCCTTGACGTTACAACCTCTGCTTTCTTTCAATCACAAAATTAACACATAAGAAACACAACTGGGAAACTACAGAATCCTATAAAAACCTAAAAAACAACAAAACAATAGACCCGTCCTTTTGAAAAGTCATATTTCTTTGATCAACATGAAAAACCTTAAATAAGCAGCTACCTAAGCTTCTGCGTTGACTGAAAATGTAGTTAAAGAGACAGATTTGTCACTCGCTGCTGGTCCATTATCAGCCTATTTAATGTTGTGAACAGATGCAGACCATTGCAGCTGCAGCTGTGATCAGCGCCGACATGCTGCCCTCTGTGTGTCCACAGCTCTTACTCTTCTTTATTGCTTTTTCAAAGTTAGAGTTTTGCCCGAACAAAGTCTTTTGAACTTCTCGATCAGACCACATTTGTGTGTATTAAGCTTTTTCTCTTCTCCAAAACAAAACTGCTAAACTACAGACCTCCTGTGACAGGATTTTGTTTACTCCAGGTGCTTAAAGGCCACTGTTGTTCATAAGATGAAACATAAGTCTCTGTTGTTTATTAATTCTCTCCTATTTACAGTGCTTTTTACAATGATAAACTACATTTTACCTCCAAAGAATCCAGAAAAATGTCTAGATTAACTTTTGAGTTAACATTAACCAGCCTGGCTCGTATTGAAAACACTTCTTGAGGTAGTTTTCACAATAAAAGGCCACTGAGTTCTTCAGCCATGTATTATAAAGTATATTTAGGAAGTGATGAGTTAATATCAACAGCAGCTGTGTGCATCAACATTATTTTATACCATCTAATGAACAAACCAGAAGATGACGGAGCTCCCGCTGCTCCGTGAGTAATGGAGTGACTACTGGCAGAAGGTGATAAGTAAGATAATATCGTGCAAAGCGGGTGCTGAAAGTTTAGTCCGAAAAATGTAGTGCTGGTTTTATTTTTTATTGTACAATTTACAAATCACAAACAATTAAAAATGGCTTTACTGGATGACGACTGTAGAAGTCATTAAATTCACTGTGTGAGTCAAAAGTCTTTCCACATTTGATTCAGCTGTGAAAACAGGTTAAAAAGATAAAGATAGAAGCTAAAGCTACAAATCACAGTGTTAAGGGAACAACCTCATCAGCTGACAGAGACAGAAACCATTGAAATTAAGGAACAACACTTTTCCTGTAAAGCCGGGTAGGTCTTTATTCAGTGTTACAATCATTAAAAAGTATACCTCCTGTCTGATGCTACGCCACGATTGGCCAGTCTGCATTCGAGGGGCGGGACTTATCGAGGGGTCAATATAAATGTATCTCTTTCTCTCTGAAATTTCCTTTTTTTCTTGCAGTTTATTGTTTATTGGCACGTTGTTTTAAGGCCACTGAGGAGAGTGTGTGTTTTGTGAGTGTGTTTATGTGTGTTGTGGGGACGAAATTCTGTTCACACAGTCACAGTGTGGGGACTATCCTCCCTCTAAAGATGGTCCCCACAATGTAAACCATTACATTTTATAGGTTAAGTCTTGGTTTTCGGTTTGGGTCAGGGTTGTGTTTATATTGTGGTTGCGATTAAAGTTAGGATAATAATTGCATAGGGGAGGAATTTGACTTAATGCAACGTCATCCTGAGTGGCAAAAACATCTGTGTGTGTGTGTGTGTGCGCGCATTTTGTGCCATTCTGCTGGTGTGTCCGCATTTATCGACAGTTGTAACTATTTGCATAATCCTCTCTATCTCATTTTTCCTGGTTAGCAACAACGGTTACAGAGAAAGCAAGCAATGAAGACTTGAAATTAACATTTTTTGATGTATTATACAAGTATGTTCATTCATTTTTCTTAATAAACGTGAATAATTTGATAGTAAGTCTGCCTTTATTGGTTTAAAGGGGATGGACAAAATATATGAAACGTCTCTTACTGCACACATTCTTGTATACAGCCTCCAATGTAAGTCTTCATGGATATAACAACACATGTTCTTCCAGCTTCAACAAACTAGCAGAAACAACTTGGTGTGTGTGTGTGTTTTTTTAGATCCATTCTTTACCATTTTCAGTCAAAGTGAGCAGTCAGATGACATTGATTTGGTGCCAAATAGAGCTGACTGTGTCGCTGTGTTCACCCTAACGCTGCGCTGTAAGTGGTGCATGTGTGTGCAAGTTTAAGATATACGTCGAGCTAGAATCCAGCCAGATTGTGTGTAGGACCGGTTGGTTCCATTCCACGTCAATTACCAGTTCAGCCAAGATGGCTAATTAGCTGCAGAACATTAACCAGCATGTGAACATACCTGCACAAGTCACATGGGTGTAACTGCTGCACTGTCACAGCCTGTCAGCTGTTTTAAAAAACTCATTGATGTCATCTTTAGCTACAAAATACAACCTAAGCTAAAAGGTTATACATGTCAATAAACCATAATAATTGATACAAGTATCAACATTCTGTCATTAAAAAAATACAAAAAAATGATTATTTCTTCCTAAAATTTGACTAAGAAAAGCACTCAAAACATGTTTGAATTATGTACATTTATTTTTTGAGGTATGCTTATTTATCTGCAATATAAATATTTTCCCACATTGGTATTTTTGCTCATCGCTTAAATCTGTACAACCTAAAATAAAAGATGATGTAAGCAAATAAACCATGATAAAAGTACTGAAATTGTGTCATAAATTAAGAAAATAAAACACGGACATGTGTTTTTTCATGAAGATTCAAAAGTATTTTTCCTAAACAATTCTGCATGCAGAAACATGAAATATATATAAACATTTCCACACGACTAAACACAACTAACATGAATTGAACAATGTACATTTCTTAGTTTTCGACATATGCTAATTGTTATGAGCAGAGTGCAAATGTGTTGATAGTTTTGTTACATTACGCACGTGATGTAAAGTAATGACCTCATCACAGAGAGACTTGCTGTAGCTACTATGTTTTTTTTATTTCAGATTGATTTATGAGGATCGTGCAAACGACGATCTCCGGTGGAAGGTCTGTTTCTGAAGGGTTAAAACAACACAGCATGCCTTTGAAAATGTGAAGCATGCACGTACAGATAATTTGTGAATCAGAAGCTAAACTTGGCAAAGACATTATGATAATCCTTTAAATACGGTGGAGCCACCTGCACCTGAATACAGTCCATCTCTGTCCTGCTTCAGGTATAAATCAATACTATTTCTGTAAAGCATTGGCACACGGTTACATGAGCCAACATAAAACTGATCAATTAGATCATTAACCTTCAGCGCCATTAATGATCGTGACTAATCAGCGGCTGAGCTGAGGACAGCTCTGATTGGTCACGTTGTGTTGAGAACAACCTCTGAATGTGTCTGAGCGATCTGATCCCAGTGCATCGTTCACACGTTCATCAAAAGTTCTCCACTTGGGATCAAATCGCCCGTGATGCATTAAAAAATGTGTCAGTAAGATTCTGTTTCCAAACTTTACTAGACTGAGAATGAGGGATTTGAATATTAATATTGTCCCTTCAGCCTCACTTTTTTGTGGCCTTTTGTTGTATTTCATATAAAACAGGTTTGTGTTGATGTTAGCGCTTTAAAACATAGATTTGACTTTTATCTCTCTTTCGGAGTCCTGAGATAGATTTTGCCGACTTAGCGTTCTCACTGTGGAATTTTCTTGAAACGTGTGTGTTTGTGTGTGAGTGTGTTTTGCAGCTAGGACAGTGTGTCACAAGCACATACACACAGCATGACATGGACATTTCGGCTTTTTTTTTTTTTTTTCTCCGAGAGAAAGAGAGATATGACAGATGACAGATGGCTGACCAGATGAACTGAGAGGGAGAGAGAGAGACCAAGGGAATGGAATCATAACGAGATAACAAAGGGTGGAAGAATGAAGATGAACTCTTATTTCACTTTATACAGACTGTTTCTACTGTTAATACTTCCACCATACTGTTATATAACAATTAACGTAGGTGTTAAATGCTTTCAATCATGGGCAGATTATGAGATAATGAGCCCCTTGGCACAGAACCCACCACCTCTGCCTTAGACTTTATAGTTGTTTAGCCCCTTTTTGTAGTAGTTTTGAGTCTCTTTGTCGTTGCTTTGTGTCTCTTTGTAGTCATTTTGAATCTCTTTTTTGTTGTATTTTGTCTCTTTGTGGTTGTTTTGCCCCTTTTCATTGTTGTTTTACATCTCTGTAGTTGCTTTACATCTCTTTGTAGTCATTTGAGTCTCTTTGTAGTCCCTTTGTGTCTCTTCGTAGTCTTTTTGAGTCTCTTTGTAGTCGCTTTGTGTCTCTTCGTAGTCATTTTGAGTCTCCTTGTAGTCGCTTTGTGTCTCTTCGTAGTCATTTTGAGTCTCTTTGTAGTCGCTTTGTGTCTCTTCGTAGTCATTTTGAGTCTCCTTGTAGTCGCTTTGTGTCTCTTCGTAGTCATTTTGAGTCTCACTGTAGTCGCTTTGTGTCTCTTCGTAGTCATTTTGAGTCTCCTTGTAGTCGCTTTGTGTCTCTTCGTAGTCTTTTTGAGTCTCTTTGTAGTTGCTTCGTATCTCTTCGTAGTTATTTTAAAAAGGGGTCACAAGGGTTCACCTTTTGACAAGGGGTCCTCTTGACACTTTGGGCCCCTGGGTCTGTGCCCGGTAGGCCCCTTTACGTTACAGTATGTTAAAGCAAAGAACACACACACACACGCACAAACCTAGTAATAGCTGGATGAGTGTGGGTGTGTTCTCTCTCACAGGAATGTTGATCTGATAATGGGATTAATACTAAAAGCTCCACTGTTTTTCTCTCTCTGTCTCTACTCAGGGTCACTGAGGACTGAAGGCATCAAGGCGTCTGATGTCCTTCCTGTGTTAAAGGAAAAAGTAGCCTTCGTGTCAGGTGAGTTTCAGTCGGTGTGCTTCAATCACCAAACATTCAGTCCAAGACAGGAATCCGGAGCCACACACTGTATGCCAGAGTTGTCAGCAGGCACTGGGGCAGAACTCCAGGAGCTGCATTCACAAAGGATCTCATCTTACCATAAGGTCTTCCTGGCTTAGAGTTCCCTAAAAGGGAAAACTCGCCACCTCTTATATCCAATCAGTGTTAATGGTAAATGTTCATCATACTCAATAGCACCGTGTCAGCCTTTAAACCGCCAGGACTGCAGAAGCAGGTCCACTGATGTCTGGACCTAGACCTGCGCACCTCCTGAGACAGGAAACGGGCAGGGAAAATCATCACAGGCCCTTCACACCCTGAACATGACTTACGTGAACTTCTCCCCTCCGGCAGGCGCTGCACATCACCGCCTGCCAAAACAAGCAGGGAAAGCAGACGCACAAACTGTTTCACTCCACGGGCCGTCGCACGCACAAACACTCAGCCGTGTGATGTATTTAGATTCTGAACAAACGAGATGTAGCATCACATGACCTCAGAACATTGACCCAACAAAATATTGTACCCCCTCCAAATTATTAACGATGTACTGAAACAGCAGCCGTGAATTGAGGAGCACCCAAGCAAAGATTGCTAAAAAACAACAACAAACAAAAGGATATATGGTTCTGTGTTTCTGTGACTTTATTTAGAAACTTGCCTCGCTCTACCTGTGTACTCCGTGGTCGAGGCCTTTGAGTCCAAAGTGTTGGACTAGATCTGAAACAGGCTCACGAAAAACCTACTGAACCTTCCATATTTTCAAAATGGAGACCCGATCAGAGGGTCCGAAAAAACAAAAACACTTTTATTATTGTAGTAACACCCTCATTTTGTAATAAACAGCTTGAATGCAATATTTAATATACTTCATCACATTTTGTAATACATTATTACATATTGCAATGGTTATTTCAAATGCAGGAGTTGCGGGTGTTATTACATTATGGAGTGAAAATGTATTACATTTTGTCTAGTTATTACACAATGCAGTATTTTTCTACAAAGATTTAGCAGACAGCAGTATTGGAAAGGAATATTTTTATTACATATACAAAGTGTTAGCACTATGGTGCAAGATTTAAGTACTGTTTAACATTTTATCAGTTGCAGAACTGGTTCTTTTAATCCTTTTAGTCGTTATGTGTACCAGTGAAAAGGTAACTCTGAATTAGAAGGAGAGAATGGGAGAGAGACCTTGAGAGAGAGAGAGAGAGGGTGAGAGAGCGAGCATGTAAAAGAGTGCCAACAACGATCTGTCATCAAGATTCCTCCCGAGATTACAGCAGCACGCTCCCTCCCAAATCACACACTCAAACACACAGACCGATTTTCCACGACTGAGTAGCAGTTTCATAAACATTGCGGTTTGTGTTTCTTACATTAATCTAACCAAAACATCTCTACTCACATCATTTATCACAGACGGGGAGAGTGAGAGCTTGTATTTCGGACGGCTTTCGGAGCCTTTGGAAAGTGTGTTTCCCGGCTGGTGTAGCTGTGATGGGAGATTTGTTTCAAACACAGAGATATTAAAGCTGTTAGTGTAAAGTAAGAGCAGATTAGGACTGATACAGTGATACTCCTTAGTGATGAAGGAGTGACAGTGGAGAGTAATGTCTGCTCTGGAATCAAGCTTAACTGGTTACTTCATTTTGCATTCTAATGTACATCTCGTAAAAATGTAGATATACATTTCTGTTTCGGCTGACACTTGAATCGTATCATTTACAATCAAAACATATTCTTAATTCTGGAACTTCAATCTGACAATGCTGTAGCAGTACAACTTTAAACTACTGCGGCTAACAATACTGCCATAATATAATGGCACTGCTACTACTTCTGCTAAAGCTATATTACTACATAGAAATGAACATAGGAATGCTTTTTAAACACTACATGCAAACATTAAACATCACGCTTATCATTTGATTGTGTGCGTTCGAAGGTGGGCGAGATAAAAGAGGCGGACCGATCGTGACATTCCCTGCAAGGAGTAACCACGACCGAATAAAGCAGGAGGACCTGAGGAGGCTGGTGACCTACCTTTCTACTGTCCCCAGGTACACACACACACACACACACACACACACACACACACACACAAATAGCACGTGTGTTCTTTATTTTAGATTTGATCATATTTGCAGTTATTATCAATTAACCTTTTTATCCACCTCGTTATTCGGGACGATACGGTGTAGTAAACTAGGCGTCTCACAGGGAAGAGGTTGCAGGGTGGAGTGCATGTGGAGTGCATGCGGAGTGCCTCAGTGCTGTCTCCACACTGCGGAAATCAAACGCTCCTCTCTTCGACATCACAGCAGCAGACGGAGAGCAGCGTTTGATTTGCATCAGCATGAGAGCTGCAGTGTTTGCAGCGGACAGCAGCGAGTCTATCACACTTCGCTTGGAGTCCATTTAATGCCCGCCGCCCCTCATCACAGTCTGAGGACGTTACACGGAAAACGAGCTGGTCTAGAGGTAACCGAGCAGCCAAAGACCGGTTCCTGGGACTCTCCAAATCTCTTTTTTTCGTTAGCTGACTAAATCATCAGATGTCAGAGTGTCCTTGAATGCAGCAGCAGGGAGAGTTTTTTTTTAATGCAAACAGAGACTGATGTTGAATTTTAAAATGTACACCTGGCTGACTTGAACACAGCGTGACTGAACCAAACTAAACCCAATATGTGTATTATCGTTTGATCCCCCCCACTCTGATTACTGCCGCTAATCCAGCTGCTGTTTCCATGGTGACGAGTGGAGTTTGTGCTTCCCCGAGGCGGACGATAGTGGATGTGCTTTTGTTGAATTTTTATTAATAGAGGTTGTGTGTGTGAGTGTGTGTGGAGCTGAGGTCATTCCTGTATATTTCTACCATCCAATCAGCAGCAGATGGATTGAAGGCCCAGATGTGTACACATCTGGCTCTCGCACTGGTTTCAGAGCAGCTTCTGGTCACCAGTTTACAGCTGCTGTCCTATCTATCACATGTGGTATCACACATTGTTTCTTGAACTAAAATGTATCACCAATTGACTCCTATTTCTAAAATTCCCCCTTTTATGTAATTTGTTTACATTTTTACAAAGATTAATATACGTTGCATACAATTTATACAGCCCACATGCATAAATAAATTAACATGCAACACGCACGGCCACATTGCCATCTGGAAGGCATTCTGTTGTCTTCATATCATATTTATTTACACAGCCGATGTGAATGTTGGCCCAAAACAGACCTGGAAATCTGCATTTCAATGCTTTCCCTTGCTTTCAGGGGACTGATCTGTTCCACATGTGAACAAAACTATCGCTGAAGTAATTTGATGAGGTGATGTGAATAATGTGGAGCCTTTGTTTTTATTGGGAAATACACGTTTTTCCCGGAGAGATGAAACTATTGATGCCACTCTCATAACTGTGCTGTGAATATCAGACTATACAGCACGTAGCCAGTCAGCTCAGTATTACATTAAGACTGGAAACAGTGGAGACTTCAGGAAGTCAGTGTTGCCGGTGAAGAAACAGTTTATAATTTGTTTACCGAAAGGCATACTCTGAGAAATAAATAATTGTATTTCACTAAGTACGTATCAGTGACTGATTGCAAGCTCATGTCCTCTGCTGCTTCCCTGTAGAGCAGTGCAGACTACTGCTTACACTGGTTCCCTGAAGGTTTCTCTAAGTAATTAGTCTGGTGTAACAGTCTGACAACTGACGAGGATTAAGCAAGCATCATGATTGATTTCTCTGTTTAGGAGATTTTTCCTTCTTTCCTCTGAACTTCTCGATTGTCTTTCTCCTCTACTCGTCTTCTGTCTTGTCTGATTTCTGCCTCTCCGATCAGCGAGGACGTGTGTAAACGTGGTTTTACCGTCATCATCGACATGCGCGGTTCCAAGTGGGAGCTGATCAAGCCTCTGCTGAAGACCCTGCAGGAGTTTTTCCCGGCTGAGATCTGTGTGGCGCTCATCATCAAACCGGACAACTTCTGGCAGAAACAGAAGACGAACTTCGGCAGTGCGAAGTTCTCCTTTGAGGTCAGCGGGCTTCTTTGATTTCTTTGAGTGTTTCATCCAACACATAGTCTCACTTCAGATTCCACGTCTTCAGACAGCAATAACTGTCTGGTTTGGATTAGCCAACAGTTTAGAGGCTGAAACTATTTGTTTAAGAAGTTTTAAATGATTAAAGACTGTTCTCGACGGTAGCAGTATCTATGCTCTCCGTTTTGATTTGCTCAACACATTTTTAGTCCTGTATGATCCGTCACTGCTAAAATAAAACATTCATTTTGACATTTCTTTTGAATTTCTGTTCACCAGACCAGCATGGTGTCAGTTGAAGGTCTGTCCAAACTGGTGGACCCCTCCCAGCTGACGGACGACTTTGAAGGCTCTCTGGACTACAACCACGAGGAGTGGATGGAGCTGAGAGTCTCTCTGGAGGAGTTCATATCCAATGCTGTTCACCTGCTGTCCAGACTGGAAGACCTGCAGGTGGGGGGGGGGGGGGGGAGATAAATGGGCAGATGAATGACTAGCTAACCAAGCAAGGGAAGGATGGATGGATGGATGGAAGGTTTAAAAGGGTTAAATGAACAGTTCATGCCAACATGAAAACGTTGTACTGTGTGTTGCAGGAGCTTCAGTCCAAGAAGGAGTTTCCGGCAGATGTGGAGGGATCTCGTCGGTTGATAGATGAGCACACGCAGCTGAAGAAAAAGGTCAGCGAGCTACTGTCAGGACAGTCTGATACAAACTGTAGACATCTTAATAGATTCGTTGCTTTTGCATTCGCTGGCCTAGAGCTAGTTGTGTCATCTGTACATACAACTTTGAATCATGTTAAGACACTAAAGTCCTCTAATTCTGTCCTGTAGGTGTTGAAGGCTCCAGTGGAGGAGTTGGACCGGGAGGGCCAGAGGTTGCTGCAGTGTATCCGATCTAGTGATGGTTTTTCAGGGAGGAACTGTATCTCAGGCTCTGCTGACTTCCAGAGCTTGGTGCCCAAGGTAAAGTCACTCCAGCTGATCAATATAATCTCTTTTAAAAATCACATTTTAAACATGTTACAGTTTTGGGAGGAAATGGCCTCCAAACAGGCCCATGGTGAAACAACCAGAACATGATTGAACACCTCCAATTGTAAAGAGTCAAATGATTTTGTTATCTGCACTGTTGGAATATTAAGAACAACACCTGAGATTTACTCTCACTAGGAAGTATAGCAGTAAATACTCAACACAATATAAACAGAGCCAACAGGATACAGTCGCTTTTAACAATTCTGAGAATGAAACATGACGATTCCTCTTAAGTGATCTTCCTACCAAAGTTGTGCACATCCATCATTACAACCAGCGCACACTAAATGCACAGTCTCATTCTTGGCTCACCTGGTCAGGGCCCACAGCTTGTTGCCGTCCCTCATTAGGGCTAATGAGAGGTACTCGCTGCATGTCAGCTCGTTAGCCGAAGGACTCCACGGGAAAAGTTATGAAAGAACACAGCGAGTTGCATTGCACAGGATGTTTGCGTAAAGCACACACCGTACATCGCAAACAGAAAAATGCTGATATATGAATATTTGATATGAATGTCTTCCAGAGAAAAACATCTTCAGGTAAAGGATCGACAATTTAGAGGTATATGTCTGGGAAAACACGACAATGCATGTTCTCAAGCGACCCAGTGGTGCAGTTCAAATATCTGCTGCACTGTCTGGGATATCAAACGATATGAGGACCTGAACCTGGACCCTATTGTTTAGACATTAGGATTTCCTATCAAACTGGATAAAATGTACAGAAGATGTTGTGTTTCGGGACCCTTAGACTAAGTGTCCAACCATGAGCTGCGGCATTTTTCTCCCAATTAAACCAGTTGCACTCCGCTCCAAATGGATGGAAGACATCGTAAGAAACACCATCTAACAGTTCTTGATTCTCGCTTTTCGCCAGGTGGCCAGTCTGCTGGATAAGCTTCACTCCACGAGGCAGCATCTCCATCAGATGTGGCACGTCAGGAAGCTGAAGCTGGACCAGTGCTTCCAGCTCCGTCTGTTCGAACAGGACGCAGAGAAGGTGAGCGTGATGTCACTAAGGCGGAGCGGAAACCATCACTGGGAAAGCCATCAGAAAAGGCATCAGCTCGAAAGTATCATACAGTGTTTTTCACATCTGTGTTACCGTAAATGTCTCGAGAAACTCCTTAGTGAACCGAATGAATTAGCCTGTTTATCTAAACAGAGGAACACAGTTGGCGGTTAATCCAGTGGAAAAGCAGCCAGTTCTGCTTCACTTTACAACACCAGTAAAGCGATTAGCTGCGGTTGTGACTTAATGCTGGGATTCCATTCATCTTTGTCATACCAGCCTGTTTACACTCACTCCAGAATACTATATAGAGAAAGATCACATCCTCTGATGGGCAGAGGCCGGTATTTAAGACATTACAGGTAATTGCAACCTCTGAAATGCTTTTATTTTGTAAACGCTGCTCCACAGCTATAGAAACACTGCATCACTGACTACTGCAGAGTGATGACTGACGTCTGCACACCCAATAAATACCGATATATCACCAGTATGATGTAAACCTGTAGCCCCGCCTCTGTACAGAGCTGCATGTGTTTCGTAGAACCCAAAGTGTCGTGGATGAGATTGCAGCTTGTACAACCAAACACACACACACAGACGGGCGTCAGCTGACTTGGTGTGTCGTTCCACTCATAAAATCCACATGCAGGAGCAGTAAATATTTACTGTTAAAGCAAACAGAGAGAGAGGAGCTGCGGGGGTGTGTGGACGGGTTTACACTGTGGGGAAACACTCGGCACTCGCAGAGGAGCCAGAGAAACGGTCGGACCTGACGAGGTGTCTCGTTCTGCGGAGATCACCGCCCGGAGGAGGAGGAGACTGTGGGGAGACGATGTGGTAGCCATGGTAACCACACGACCGGCCTCCATCTGTCTGCAAAGATTGATTTGCGACGGAGGATCAACGCGTGAAGGTTGTCCCGGCCTCTCAGGCTGTGCACTGATCAGCTGGGGAAGATGAAGGCAGCGAGAGAAAATTACATTTTTTTTAAAAAGTGGCAACAGGCAACTTTCCAACTCCTTCAAAGAACTCTCACTCAGGGTCAGAACTGCAGAGTGGACACAAGGCTTATAGAGAGCCAATCTACACGCCGATAGTGTCATTATTCTATAGCCATTACATTGTGCAATCAACGTTTATTCATAATGATAAGGTAAAGCAGAGTTCATTGCCACTTTAAAGGAATATTCCTTTGTTTGTTTACAGCCTGGGTCATGTTTATGTCACAGTGTTACTCACCAACTGTATTGTAGACACACAGTTAGTCAGGGCAGCTGCTTGACTGATGCTAGACATAATGTTATGAACTTCAGTACAGTCAACTTCAAACACATCATGCAAAGGCTTACAACAAAAAAACATTTACAGTTTTAGGAGCCGCCAGTAACGGTGTCCGGTGATGATATAATTCAGAACAATTAAAAGATTGTTTTCCTCTCCACATGCTGAGAAAACTCCTCAGTGTTTTACTTTATTGTTAAAGTTTGACAAAGAAATCACAACTCAAGGTCCGCTTACTAGCTTTTCCAGAGCTTTCATCCACAGAAAGCTAACTTTCAAAACCTCAATGGTCCCTCACATGTGCTCTGGTGGCAGATGATTACATTATATTTGTTCCTGAGGCAACTTTCAGCTCCGATGCAATGCAATAAATGAGTGTGCTTCATAATTTGCAATGTTATTAATGCTGCTGTGTGTGTGTGTGTGTGCGCGTGTGCAGATGTTCGACTGGATCAGCCACAACAAGGAAGTGTTCCTGCAGAGTCACACAGAGATCGGCCGAGGATACCAGCACGCCGTGGAGCTGCAGACTCAGCACAACCACTTTGCCATGAACTCCATGGTAGCTACTGTAATGTCATCAGAGCCGTAATTCTCACATTACATCACTGTAGATCACTCAGAGCAGAGATGAGGAGAGGTCAGCGGCATGATCGTCACACACACAGTCAGGCTCTGGGCCAGCTAGCCTGTTCACAAAGTGTCACAGAATATCATAATGTAGTTACAGCTGCTTCCAAAGCCAATGAGAAGAAATCATTGAAAACTACACCGCAGGTAGAGAGTGCACTCAAAGCTGAATATTGTTCTGTAGAAGAGAATGGAGACTTATTGATGAAAATGCTGTAAATATCAGTGCTGATGTTAATTATTATTATTAATTTTCAGTGGGTTTTATTTTCCATTTTATGTCATGTATTCTCTTTTATATTATTTTCATTATTTTATCCTGTTTTTTATGTTCATTGTACGCTTATTGGTAAACACTTTGTGCTGCAGTTCATGTTTGAAAGATGCTATTATAATACTACTACTACTAATATAAATTATTATTATTATTGTTATATCATAACAGGATCAGCCAGTTTTGTTCATGTTTTTCTTCCCCTTTCTTCTTCTTCCCAGAATGCATATGTGAACATCAACAGAATCATGTCGGTGGCGAGCCGCCTGGCGGAGGCCGGCCACTACGCCTCCACGCAGATAAAACAGATCTCGAGTCAGCTGGATCTGGACTGGAAAAGCTTCGCTGCCGCACTTGACGAGCGCTCCACCATCCTCGCCATGTCGTCCGTCTTTCACCAGAAGGCCGAGCAGGTGAGATGGTGTATCGTACCTACAGCCGTGTTTGAACAGATCTAGTCCTCAGAGAGACTGCTGGCGCTCGCTGATTTGATAACCATTTACTCTGGGAATCTCTCTGCAGCAGACGCATGTCCAGAATGTAAAATGTAAATGGGACATTTCTAGCATCTGATTATATTTAATAGATCAAACTGCTCCGCTGCTGATTCTTGGAAGGTTGACATGGCAACAGATGGGCCTTGTTTGATTCCTGCTGGGCCCTTGACATCAGCTACAAGTGTACATTCTGAGAGAGCCCGAGATGAAAGACTGAGAGAGAGAGAGAGAGAGAGAGAGAGAGAGTGTGACGGGATTGGCTGAGATTGAGACAGAGCCTAATGAGAAACAGAGAAACTAAATGAGACACAAGCAAAAGCAAACTGGCAAAACTAAAGAGAGAATCAGAGAGAGATGTGAAGGCTGTCCTCATGAACCCGGTCAGTGAAGTACCTCAAAACTAGCAACAACGCTACCGTCTGGAGTTGACGGTGTTCCTGAGTCCGTCTCATCCTCGTGATATCTCAGGAACGTCTTGAGGAAAATGTCCTCATATTTGGCACAAACGATGAACTGATTAGAATTTTGTGGCCAAAGGTCACTGATATCTCACAAAAGACGTTTCTTTGGGCATGACTCAATAATTCATATGCTAGTTATGATGACAGAATGATGTCATTTGGACAGACGTGGATGTAATCTGCAGCCTGACTGGGTGGTGATTCTATTTTTATCTTCTGATCCAAAATTGATATTTAGGTTTCTACCAGGGATCTAAGTTCATTAACGCATTAGGGCTGTACAGCTGCAAAGCTTCATTCATAACGTTGACATTCAAATTATTATTATTAACTTACAGAAATATTGGATGCAATAGTCCACACTCTCTCTCACACACACACACACACACACACACACACACACACACACACACAGGAAGTGACGCGGTGCTCAGTTGTCATCTGTGATGGTCTCAGTCCGAAAGACAAAATGTATCAAAAAAGATGGATGTAATAATTTCCAAAATTCACAACATGTTTGCATCTCAATAACGTCTACATGTATCTTAAATAGTTTAGTACCAATAAATATAGAAACAAAGCTAAACTATAAAGTGATAAAAAATAAATCCTCAAATATGTCATGTGGATGAGGGATCTTGAGGAAAGGCGACTGACACGCACACAATGCACTCAAAGGGCGACAGTGTCCCAGTAACAGTTTCCATTAATTAGAATTCATCCCATGAAGATGATAATATCTACAGCAAATGTCATGGCAATCCGGCCTGTAGTTGTTGAGATATCTTCCTCCAGGATCAAAGTGTGAGACGGACACATGGATGGACTACTGAATGGGGCCTAACGGCCCCAAGCCCGGGGCCCCCCCTGACCCTCACCTACAAAATGTCACTCAAATAGACACAAAGCAACTAGACAGAGCCCGAACCTCAACAAACGAGGCCCAGAGTGCAGAGCTGTTAGATTAGCAACTGTAATGTGGGAAAAAAGAAGTCCACATTACGTTCTACACTATTTTATCCACATGTTCAGTCTTTTGAGATTCATTTTCATATGAATACACACTTTGTATGACTTCCTGTCTGTGTCTGTGTCTCTCCCTCAGTTCCTGTCGGAGGTGGAGGCCTGGTGTAAAGTCTGCAATGAGGGAGGGTTACCGTCCGAGATGCAGGAGCTGGAAATCGCCATCCACCGCCACCAGAGCCTGTACGAGCAGGTCACACAGGCTTACACCGAGGTAAACCGACAGCACGGCTCGCCGGCTGAGATCTACTGATTATCTGCTGTCGCCAGAGCCTTTATGACGAGGCCACGGAGGCTGTATAATCCCTAGACATGTAAATAGAGCTTTTATCAGTGAACTATTAGTGACAGTCACGTGATCGCACGCGTCAAGTTCCAAAATGTCAGAGGTGCAGGAACAAGCGCCGCGACCACTGGACGCGCATTACGCACCGGCTGTGATTACGTCACTTCCTGGCTTGCGTGCCTTGCGCCGGTTTTACTTGTGTCGCTTGTTATCGTGTCAGTGACGACTAAGAAAGGCGGTTTTATCAACCGTAACACCAGTTCTGTTGATAACGCTGTGCGTGCCCTGGAACACTGGGAACAATTAATGGCCCCCGAACGGCAAAATATGACATTTCAGATGGCAGGACATTAGAAATATCCTGAAAACATTCTAAAAATGAAATGATGAAAAGTGTAACGCTTTGTCTCACCACCGGCCGTCCAGACTAGTCCGCGTTCCACCACATTTATTCTGGGAACTCTCCCGCTCCTCTCTGCTGCAGTCCGGACGGGCGTTTTTATCTTTAACCGGGCTGTTGCAGTGTTAGCCCAATTTATGCTTATCTGTGAAAAGATAAGTCCATGTATATATTTATACACACACACATAAAGCTCCGAGCAGAGGCTCAGAATGACTGCGGTTAGGTTTGGCAAGCTGTGACAGCAATTTACAGTGAGAGCTCTGCAAAAAGTGACATGCTCTAAGACTGGCAAGTGGGTTTTTATCTTGTCCTCTTGACTTGAAGCGCTTATTTAACGAGGTGTTGTAGTGTTGACAGCGTTCCTTATTAGGATAACGGAAACTCTGTGACACAAAATGAAAGTGTAAGCAGAAGCTCTTCTTGTTACAACATGGTGTTCTCTGTTCTGTGACTGCAAACATCTTAAAAGCAGAGAAGATGAAGATGCAGGTGTCTCTGCCAGGTGTGTGTGTGTGTGTGCTGTAGCTTTAAGTGTGTGTAATCTCTGTAGAGCGTTTGTTTCATCACTGGTTCAAAAGATCAAGCTCCCTCATGGCGTTGTTCCTCCTGAGCGAGGCCACAGCACGCAGTGGAACTTTAAAGATAGTTTTCCCTCGGGCGTCTCATTATGTGAATCCTCTTCATGTCCTGCAGTTTAGCAGCTCAGGAGCCCGTAACATCTACAGCAAAGGTCTCAAATAACAGAGAACAATTAGTGGATGAGACGTCAGACATATATTTCATAAAATACACATAAGGGGAGACACTATAGGTGAATAGGTAAAAACAGATATCACCATGAAACCTCAAGTTTCTTCCTGATATTAAGACAATCATTTTTTGTATCACAAGTTTTCTGAAGAGTCATGTTAAGTATTCAAATACTGCATTATCTTATTTAATATGTGCTTTTTTGCATGCATTTCCATAACAGAACATTGGGTGAAGACATTGTTTGTTGACGTATTAGAGTCAAAGGTTTTTACAGAGGGAATTTTGGATATCTCTTTGTATCTCTCCATAAATCAGAAAATACTGTGAAGAGCCATCAAACAAATCATTTTCTCCATGTTTTTAGTTGTAAAATGTTGTATAAATGAGTCTCTGAATGCTGTGTGAAGGCATTCAGGATGGAGAAGAAACACGAGGATGTAAAAAGACACACAGGACTCATTTCTTGCAGAAAGGAAACGGGTCACTGCTCGTCTGTATCAATCAACAGTAAGAAGAGGAATGCTGATTTTGAAAGTGTATATTTGTATCAGAGAGCAGATGGAAACTGAGAAGAAGAGTTTCTTTATAAAAAGCACAAGACCTGTTCTGATCTGTGTGTCTGATATCTCATGTGACTCCCCTGTCTGTGTGTCCAGGTGAGTCAGGACGGTAAAGCCCTGTTGGACGTCCTCCAGAGGCCTCTGGGTCCCGGCAACTCTGAGTCGCTGACGGCCACTGCTAATTACTCCAAAGCGGTGAGTGTTTTTGGGGTCGCTTTGGGCTTCTTCTTCCATCAAATTAAAAAAAGAGATGCATCTTTAAAAGTAACTTTGGTATCTGCATGTTGCCTCCCTCTTTCTCTCTTTCCTCGTCCCCTCTTCTAATTTGTAGGAGCTCTCCATCTCTTCACTCTGGCATGTTGTCGAAATCTGCTAAATATTCAGCCACGATATTAAAACTCTTCGAGATAACACTAAGCTACGCTTTCTGTGCTCCGATACAAACAAAGTGTTTCCACCAGCAGCACGTCACCTCGGGAGATTTCAGAACAAAACTTCTCCTTGAGCGAAATCCTTCCCATAATGTTGTCAGACACTTATAATAACAATCTGAGCCTCAAAAACAAGCACTTTTAGTACATGTGTCCCCCGAGCGATTACATTGCAGTCCTTTTCACAGCTGCCGTCTGCAGCGTTCTCCCTCAATACTGTCTGTCCCCATTAATCACTTAGACACAAAGACATGGGCGAACAGGCTCCAGGTTGAAACAAAGTTACCCCTTTAAGTATTTTATATTAAATCAAAATGTAATCAAATTAATTCAAAAGCATCACTGTGTAGTTTGTGTTATTTCTCAGGTTCACTGCATCCTGGACGTGGTGCACGAGGTTCTCCACCATCAGCGGCGTCTGGAGAATATTTGGCAGCATCGAAAGGTCCGACTGCACCAGAGACTGCAGCTGTGTGTGTTCCAGCAAGATGTCCAGCAGGTACACACACACACACACACACACACACACACACACACATACAGACAAAAAGAAATGTGTCAGCCAGAGCCAAGTGGGGATCTCTGAAATGACAACTTTTAAGGGGCCGAGGAAAACGACCGTCTGACCTTTTCTTGCAGTGATTTGTGAGAGTTTTACTCACCCACGAGGTTAGAGAATGATGTCACACCACAGTGGAGCATGTCATCTTGTACGTAAGCGTGAGATCAATGTGATGATGAACTCTGCTTAGCACAACCGATGACTGGTTCATTTATCTCCGCTGTGCTCTCGTCTCAGCTAAATGTGTGTTATGGGAAAAGAATTCCTGAGATAAAACGCTCCTATTTTACAAACTAGCAGACTGTGTGGTTCTGGAAAGGTTTCAGAGATATTTGGGAGCTCAAATGAAACGTTACTGTGTTTTATGAAGGATATTTTAAACCAGCAGAGTGGATGTCATCAGTGGGGGAGCAGGAGGATTTGTTTGTTGCATTACTTTCTTTAATGTGATTATGGGTCTGACAGTAGTGCAGTCGGAATGAGGTACAACCGAATACCACCGGCATCGCTAACACCTCTGGAGTCTCAGTAAAGACGTGCCTCCGTTGATGTATGTGAAGTGGATCTTATTCATTTTCTACGGAGAGCAGGAGATCCGTCTTCACGTTGCATTATGGATGCGGCTCGGCGAGTTGTCTGAGGATTCGCTGTATCTGAATTTGCATAATCATGACTGGACTTCAACTTTATGCAAATTAGATATATTCATCGCAAGGCAGCGAGCTCACGAAGCTCAGATCAAACTGTCAAATTAGGCAACGCTGATCAAATATGAATCAAGATTCTGATACTTTGCTATTTCTCACCTCAAGAGAAGCCGAGAGCAAAGCCTAACTTTGCTTTTGATGTTATCAAACGGAGATAAATGCTCTCTCCTCCTCTTAAAATAGTCCTAAATTGACGCTAAAGTACTTCCTTGTTTTAATGTATTTTTGACCAATCAGCGACGCTCATCCCTGCAAACCCCGCCCAGAAAGTTCCTGTACTTTCAGAACGTACTACCCCTCGACTGGGGCTTTTTTAGGGGCTATATTGTCCCCTAGACGTAATTCAGACCCGGTCCTTGCAGTTGAAATGCAATGAGTTCCTCAAAATGTTCCCAGTCCCCTGGGGAAAGTTCCTGCGGTCAACAAGGGCAATTAAATCAATGGAAAAAATGAATGGAGATTCTTCTTCAGTAACTAGGGGAGGTCAGGAGGACACACACAAGCAATAACAAGAGCACATTGAATTGATTAAATACAGGTCCACTGTGACTGAAGTCATCGCGTACGGTATGTATAAATGAATGGCTCTAGGGAGAGAGAGAGAGGATCGGGGCATTAGGCGGACTACAAAGATGGATGCTGAGCATTGGCCGCCATGCAAACATTTCTATGTGACCCAAGAGAGAGAGAGAGAGAGTGTGTGAGGGAGGTAGAAAGACAAAGAGGAAATAGAGAGTGGAGGGGAGATTGCATCAGTAGGTTATAAATTCATTGAAAACAGAGCTTTGCCAACTGCACTCGTCATGCGTCAGTTTCTATGAGACCCGAGAGAGAGGGCGAGAGGCACACACAGAGAGCGAGACAAGGAGCAAGTGAGAGAGTAAGCTCATACCAATAGTCCATAAATCACTGAAAGCTATTCCAGCCAGAGAAGTAACGCTACGGGATATATGCGACCCCAGAGAGGAAGAGGCCGAGATGCAGAAAGCAAAGGCTGAAAGAGAACATATTAGGTGTGTAGTTTTATTTGGCAGTTTAAGCTGCAAAGATAGTCCCAGCTGCAGTCAGCACGCTTCGGCTTGTGTGCGTTAACTCGTCACCTTTCGCCGACCTCTTTGTGGCTCCAGCTGGACCGACTACACTGCACTGACGTCACGAATGACGACATCGCTCGTCCCTGCGCACCGCTCCTTCAAAGCCCTGAGAAGTGCTCTGAGATGCTAGTGGTGGGAGAAGTACTTTAGATCAAGTTAAAGTACCGATACCACGATGTATAAGTAGTCAATTACAAGTAAAAGTCGTTCATATATAAGTAAATGTACACGGACATGAGACGGGCCAAACTAGACCAGCGGCTGGTTTATTCTTTAACGAATTACATTTTTCATGTAATTTTAATTTGAAAAGTAACTTCTAACTACAACTGACAAATAAATAAATTAAAAAAGTACAATATTTCCCAGTTCATAAAGAGTAGATGGAGTGCGGAGACTGACTGACGGGATCAGTGTGGTTGGGTCGATGTCATGTCACCACAGGGCGTTCATTCATTGGGCGCCTCCACCCACTGCACCCATTGGGTTCAGTGAGGGTGGAGCCTGTGTATGATGGTTACGATATTCTAACCCTAGTTCTTTAAACATGCGGAGCCCTCTACCAAAGGGTTCCCGTCGCTCCCACACCGCTCGCTGAGGAGGATGTGCTGCCTTATATACTGTAGGGTCTGCATGTTTTCAGGCAGGCACGTCCTGATTGGCCGGCTCTGCTCATAGAGTCCAGTAGAGGGCTTCACCCGTGCTTATAGAACTGGGTTTAAAATATTGTAATCTTTGTTACTTTCCACCACTGTGCGATTTACAGTAGCGATAATGTGCTAATCCGGTTCACGAGCTAATGTTTACGTTCTCCTACATTGTCCAACTACACAATACACTGTTGGCCTAAAGTGAAATGAATCAATCAAATCCAGATTAGACATACTGGTTAATAGTTTTGTTAAAAAGCAGTCCAACCTGCGTCATAGTTGTCCTTTAAAGGACTGTTTGAGTCAGAAAACCCGACAAAACAAAGCATTGTGTCATCCACAGTCACAGAACTAGGGGCTCATAATACAATTCGTTTAAGATTACAGATATAACGACCAAAAGAAGTACCATCAATACAGCAGATATATACAACAAAGCAAGGGATGGAGTCATCTGCCAAGTACTTCAATGTTGACGTTTGCAATAGTCTAATGGCAGGATATTCAGCATCCAGTTCTTCACAGCTGCAGTGACCTACATTTCCCACGCAGATCATGAAGGTTTCATCCGTTCCATTCTTAATTCATGAGGTCTGAGACCATTTTGTACCGCTGATCTGTTCGCTAACTGTCAAGGAAAAAAAAGGGTGAAGCAAGCGTGTGTGTTAGGAGATGCCGTGAAGGTGATCTTCTCTTCTCATCCAGGTGATGGACTGGATAGAAAACCACGGCGAGGCTTTCCTCAGCAAACACACCGGAGTCGGGAAGTCCCTTCACAGAGCCCGAGCCCTGCAGAAAAGACACGACGACTTTGAAGACGTAGCTCAGGTGAGTCTCGACCGTCCACCTGGGTTTCCATCCAAGAACTGTAATGAAGACTTTCACTTCCCCAATGAGAGAGACACACACGCCACATTAATCAATACGGTGTCTTTTGTCTTTTTGAGTGCAGCTTTACTGACACCAAAGAGCAACACTTTGACTGTTGTACTTCTTACTGTGTCATGCTTTCATTATTGAATTTGAAATTCTGAATGCAAACTTGTCCAAAAAGGTGCAGTTTATCCCCAAATTATAATTTTTGTCTTAAGTCAGGAATACGGAAGCCCTGAGAGGCTAGTGAGAATAGACAATAATCTGGTCGTCTGATCTAAATGGTTTTCTGAAGGTGAAAAAAAGTTTTGCCTGGATAATATTTAAGTTACTTTTAAAAAATCAATCAAAAAAGGTTTTGCCACAAATATTTATCTAATTTACTTGTTTTCACCGGGAAATCAGGCGAAATAGAATTTTTTGCAGCTGAAAATGTCCTTTTTTTTGTGTTTGTTGTTGTAATACTCATTTCAACCACAAGAGGCTGAAGTGCACCACTATCCCGAAATGTCATATATATATATATATGTATATCTTGTGTGTTAGCAAGTTATATAAAATGAAAATCACCTAGAACAAAACGTGAATGATTTCAGTCCAATGTAGAACATTTAGTGTTGCGGTGCACTTCAGCCTCTCATGGATGAATTAAGATCAACCCGGCTGGCAAACCCTTTTCTTCTGCTGTTCTTCAGTGATGTCTGTCTCAGATTTACAGTGTCGACATAAAACAGAAAAGGTCCACTCCTATCGTGATCATTTTGAAGTTGTTTTGAACAAATGTTTGTTCGCTTGCCTTGCAAACATCTGTAAATGATCTTCCTTGATTAATCCCAAATTTTTCAAAACCACCATGCCTGGTGGCGGCGGGAATCACGAAAACAGGCCTCTGTACGTAACCATGTATGGTCACGAGGCTTTCCTGAAGGATCTGCAGAAGATGTTATCCATTCCTGAATTTCATTCCAGTGTTACGGTCTATCATGTAAGAAACGCTGGACCTGGAGTTGTGCTCATAAAGATGAAAACAAAACAAAGAAACATGTGGAAGCTCTCAGATTCAAAAAGAACAAAATGTGAGTAGAAATGTGGCTTGTGTTTAACGTCAGTGCTGCAATAGAACATTTGAACATTTGCTGAAGTAAAAGAAAAGTAGATAATATAGAACAAACAGCAGTGACCCTTTCTATCTAACACTGAACAGACAGTTCAGTGTTACTGCAGAGCCCTCTGTGTCTTCGATCCTCAAGTTGAGTTCCAGTGCTACGGTCTTATCATGTAAGAAACGCTGGACCTGGAACTGGACTTTGGAGTCAGTTCTGATTCACCAAAAGTCACACAGTAACCAAAACACAAACTCACTGATCAAGGCAGCGGCAAACACCAGCAACTCCCATGTTCTGTGAGGTCAAAATCACTGTTTTTGTTAATGGAGTCTTGTGGCTTTGAAGACATCCTACATGTATATGGAAGGTCTGTCTGACTGCATCTAAATATAATGCACACTTAAACTGATATTGATTCTTTTAGGTGTCTACAATACGTCCACAGCAGTACATTACCTTGCTCCTGTTTGTTTCTCCAAACTATAGTCAGGTATACATACACTGACTATGGAGCAGAACCTCATATAACCGCACTTAAAAACATCATAACTATCCCTTTAAACTATGCAACATTTGCTGCTCAGCACTATGCACCACAACTGTCAGTAATGCCTGCTTATAGAAGCACACACAGAGAAATATTGGTTCAAATATGGAAGCCTTGAGGGGCTTTGAAGTGCATCGGTCGTAGTAGAAGTGTGTGATGATCTTCTCTTTTGGAGTTGTCAGTTGTCTGTTCTGATTTGTTTTAAAGTCAAGTACGTACCGTGATAGCAGATGTGTGTGTGTGTGTGTGTGTGATTTAGAGCATTGTTTTGGAGACTAAATGTGATCAGGATCTTTAAATCCTAACTGTCTCTGGTGCTGTTACATAAGCTCAAGCACACACACACACACCTACACACACCTACACACACACACACACGCGCGTACACACACAGTGCTGGTCTGCAAGATGCCAAGTCATATTCTTCCTCTTTCCCTCCTCGTCATTCTTCCCTTTGTCTTTCTGTCATTCTTCTCGCCCCGTTTCACGGAGCCAACGTCGTCGCCACCTTTTAACGTCCGTCTCAGCCAATTCATTTCAATTTCCCCTAAAAGGCTTTCTCGACAGTTTGCACCGTCTAAGTGCTTTCTAGTTGTTGGGGGGGAAAGAGAAAAAAGAAAAGCATAATGTGGTTTATGACACGCACTGCCGTCTGAAATCACATAACAGTAACACAGGTGTCGAATCAGAATCCACGATAAATGATTCTCTACTTTTGTTTAGTGGAGGTTCAGTAATGTGATAATCCTATGAGGGATTGTGTATAAATCCTATGAAGAGTATATATATGTGTAATCTGATGTTTACACTCTGGATTAGGATTAACCTCCATAAACTGCTGGATCAGCATTATTTGGGTCAGGCGCTCTCTCTTCTTTTTTTCTCTCCTCATTAGCATATTCATGCAGTTTGTGGTGTTTTGCTGGTAAAAGTCTCCACTTAGCGTCAAACATAACATGAATACATTAAGTGCATGTTTAAGATACATGCAAAGAGATTACCCACAACGCACTTTGACATGCTCTCTCACGTACAATCACAGAGACGTGCTCAGACATTATTGGCAGACGGGTGTCCTCTTTGATAAAGACGTGTGTTTAACTGGGTGAGCTTATATTTCATCTTCAAGTCCTTTTCATTACTGACAGTTTATTTTTAGCTCTCCTCGTCTACATCAGATGAGTTGCTTCTCCGTTAGAACGGACCAAACATCAAACAGAACTCTTTTACGCTCATTAAAAGCCTTCATTTGCCGGCTTCTTCTCACTGCCTTACATCTTAATTTCTCTCGGCTTCACTTGATCCACTTCAAACATTGGTGGGTTGATAGGGAGGTCAGACTGTCACTTGTTTTTACTTTATGGAAAACAGCAGTGGGTTTTTATTGTTGTGTTGCCAAAGGTTTTGTAGGGCATTGCTTTGGCATCAGAACAGTTATTATGTGGTGGAAAAATTTGTTTTATATTGATTTATTGTCCTGGTCAACACGGCAGCATAACAGCATTGATAAGTTTCCTAGAAAAGCTGAAACCAGGCAGCAACCTACTCCTGAGTACTGATGAGTGAAGCCGATGCGGAAGTGTCCTAAAACTTGCATTCTCTCTAGCGTCCACCAGGGGGCGACTCCTCTGGTTGTATAGAAGTCTATGAGAAAATGACTCTACTTCTCTCTTGATTTATTACCTCAGTAAACATTGTAAACATGAGTTTATGGTCTCAATCTCTAGTTTCAAGTCTTCTTCAATACAGCATGATGTTCATTTAGTACATTATGGTCCATTTAGAGTCAAACAGACCATAAAGCAGGGGATGCTTTAGGGCGGGGCTACACGGTGATTGACAGGTCTCTACCAGAAACGTATACGGCGTCTCTACGTCACTCCTCCGCATTCCAAATATGATAAGTTGCGTTCATCGGTTGCGGAAAAAACAACATGGCAACTGCCATGTTCCCAGATGGTGACGGCGAAATTTATATACAGTCTTTAGTTAAAACAAATAGCATTTGTGAAGCATAACTTCACATTGATATTCATTTACTTATTGATTTTATTCACCATTTCATTCATTCATTCATGTCTTGGTCTTACACCACATTCAGGTGTCAGGGATGATTCTGCTTTCCCGTCATCTCCCTGCTGTAATCCTCACCCTGAACCTAACCAGTCATGCAGTGAAGAGTAATAATCTCTTGTAAATTATAATCTTTATCTTCTCACTAATCCCTCTAAAATGGGAAATGCCCAGACTGTAAACGTTCACCCAAACTCATATTCTTGAATAATTGGGATCATAACACATTTCTTCAGTCTAGCACCACACCCACATGTAATCTATTTCCTGTAGTGAAATATTACTGAGATAATCTCTCATATTTGCCACAATAGACCGACACTAATCCATTCTGTCCTCCAGATGAATGCCGAGAGCTGTAACTCTCAGACAGGATTTAGTCCCTTTTTTGGTGAAGATAGAGGTAGGAACGGGAAACCTCGCTCTGTTGATTCACAGAAACTGGAATTAACATTTTAATATAATGTGATCCATGTGTGTGTGTGTGTGTGTGTGTGTGTGTGTGTGTGTGTGTGTGTGTGTGTCTGCCTGCCTGGACCGGAGTTATCCCTGTGCAGCATTTGTTTTTTCGGTGTAGCCATCATTGAAAAAAAATATTGTATTGATGATGTTAAAACTAAGGAAGCCCTGATAGGCAAATGAAAAAAACAACAAATTCGGACGATCCTTCTCTAAGTCGGTCTTGTTTATGACCTAAGAACAGGTTGAAAAAAAGTTTTGCTAAGATTTCTTTTTCATCATGTAAATTAAAACTCACCTGGCAGAAATTATTTATAATTTTACTCCCATTTAGACCGTGGGATGATGGCGCATTTCAGCCTCTAGTGGCCAGAATGAGTATTACAAAAACACACTTTTTAGCACTTTTTGTGTCTTGGAACTGAAGAACTGTATTGTCCATGGCCATGGTATGAGACTAAGCTTATACAGATACTGATGATGATGATGATGATGATGATGGTGATGATGAAGGTCCCTACTTCCCCCTTCTCAGAACACGTACACTAATGCAGACAAGCTGCTGGAGGCCGCGGAGCAGCTGGCTCAGACGGGAGAGTGCGACCCCGAGGAAATCTACAAGGCGGCCCGGCACCTGGAAGTCCGAATCCAGGACTTTGTCCGCCGAGTCGAGCACAGGAAGCTGCTGCTCGACATGTCTGTCTCCTTCCACACACACACCAAGGAGGTGGGCCCCACACACACACACAAAAAGGGAACACATTCTCAGACATCCTGCTGCTGCTGCCTGAGAGTTATCTAATTTAATTATTAATCCGTCATTAACCACCGAGACTCTGGTATGTGATAATTGCAAGTTTGAGTCCCAGTAGGACAAAACGCTTCCTCTGCTACAATTAGTGGCACCGTAGTGTGTCATGTTTGGTTCTTCGTGTTGTTTTCAGCATCCAGTATTTTCAGATCTGTGCTAATGGTTTGATCACACTTACACTAACCTGCCCGTCTGTCTGTGTGTCCAGCTGTGGTCGTGGATGGAGGAGCTGCAGAAGCAGCTGTTGGACGAAGTGTGCTGCGACTCGGTGGATTCGGTTCAGAGCCTGATCCAGCAGTTTCAGCAGCAGCAGACGGCCACGCTGGAGGCAACGCTCAACGTGATTAAAGAGGGAGAGGAGTTGATGCAGCAGCTCAGGTAATAATTCAATTCCCATAGTTATTCCTGATGGTGTTTTTGAGAGGCCCAGGTAATGACATCAATATTCATAATGATATTAAAGAGGAAGATGGATTAATGCAGCAGCTCAGGTAATAATATTCATACTTAAAATGTCATTAAAAAGTCAATTTCATTTAGCCACTCAGGGAAGACGGATAATAATTACCATATTGGCACAAATACTGTGTATGATTTATGTATTTGTATTTGTATTCTTCTGAGTCGGCCTCTCTGTGTCTCTGCCTCTTACTCTTATTTGTGTTTGTGGTAGTTGTGAGGGAAAGTACTTGTTACTCTACTAGCTGCAGTGTGAATGCTGATTGGCTAGTATGCTTTAGCTTGTCGTGATTTTTCTTTATTTCATGAACAAATTTAAAAAACAACAACACAATGTTCTTGTGTTCGGGCCTCTAAAGTCTCCTCTCTGTCTCTCTGTCCACAGAGATGCAGCCATGTCGACCAATAAGACGCCTCACTGCAGTTCCATCGCACACATCCAGGGGGTGCTGCAGCAGCTGGACGAGGCCCAGGGCCAGATGGAGGAACTGTTCCACGAACGCAAAATCAAGCTGGACATCTTCCTCCAGCTACGCATATTTGAGCAGTACACTATAGAGGTAAGAGGGCATGAGCGTGTGTTGGTTCGATATTCAAAGTGGACTCAGGCACTCGGGAGCTGCTGTGGCGTACAGCAGGGCTCTGCTCTAGGTCCCCCGTTGGTCTCCGTTTTAGGGCCCCGACGCACCAGGCTGACCTCAAAGAAGTGTCGCTGATTCAACATGTCCAATTGGTCCAACAGCCTCTGATTAGAGCTAATTAAAGCCAATGTTGATAGACACTATAATAAAATATAATGGCCCCGCTGGTTTTAGGCTTGTTGTGCTAATAACTCTTCTCTTAATCCCACATTGTTTCCGTTCCTGCAGGTCACAGCGGAGTTGGACGCCTGGAACGAGGATCTGTCTCGCCAGCTGAGCGACGTCGGCCGCTCGGGCAGCAGCGGCAGCGGCAGCGGCAGCGGCAGCGGAGGAGCCTCCTCCGGCAGCGCAGAGGACATCGGCCTGGCGGAGCAGCGGCTGAAGCGCCACGCAGAGAGGAAGGCGGCCATGAACAACATGACCTACGAAGTGATGCAGCAGGGTCAAGACCTGCACCAGTACATCATGGAGGTCCAGGCTTCAGGTAGAACACAAACACAAACACAGCTTTGCTCTGTGAGGAAGGAAATGGCTTAACGAAGAGAGAGAAATGCTTAGTATAGATTATATATATATA